CCGGGCAGCCCGCGGGGAGCTCCTGCTCCGAGCTGTATCCTGGGACCAAACACCTCAGCAACTCGCGGGTACAGGACAGAAGTGCTGAATTCTTGCTGACCCGGGCTGCTTTCCGAGAGGCTGAAGGCAAGGATAGCTGTTTTTTTCAGTCTTACATTTCCCCCGTAGCAAAATGTGTACTCAGTTTTGAGACGCGCTATATATAGAGTAAAAAATAGTAACTGGGAGGCACTGTGTCTGCAGAGTAGCAAAGCCCCGTGCTTTCATGTGGGCCCTGCAGAGCTGTGCCCCGTCTGCCCCTAGTCCACTGGAAAGAGAAGGAATCTCTGTGAACTGGAAAGATTTTGAGTGCCTTTCAGCCCCTCTGTCCGTTCCAACACCGAGTGTGACCGCCCCACGGCAAGCCCGGCTCCGCTGACCCGCGGCTGAGCCCTGGCTGCGGCCAGCCCCCGGGAATGCAGGCGCTGGCTGTGCCCAGCCTCAGTTGCCTTAAGCCTTAGAACCCTTAAGGCTTTTCTGCTTTTTGTTTTCAAGGTTTGTCTGCGGGCCAGCTGATGGCTTGACTCGGCTGCCCTTCCTCCCCCAGCCAGGCTGACACCGGTGCACGGTATCGATCTCACTGCGGTACGGGAGGTGCAGCCAAAGCACCGAGACGCGCTCGCCTCGTACAGTGTAGCAGAGTGAACTTTCAGAAAGTAAAAGTGCTTGTTCAGGAGGCTGATAGAGTAAGTCATCAAAAATACCCGCTGTCCATTGTACCTCTTGACATTCATTGTGCTGCAGCTGTGACTTACTGACTCTTTATAAGGATATAATGCGTTGGGAAGTTAGAAACTTGCAAAGGGAAGTATATGCTGTCCCATAAATTGTCCCTCTAATTTTTATAACACATTACATTTAAAGGCAGGTCATAATGTTCCAAAGCAGTTACCAAAAGGTAGGTCTCTAACTAAAAATGACTTGAGTGAGGAGCTGAGGAACCTGCTTCAAACTGGAGCACTGAAAATCAGGCCAGTTTGAATTAACTGCTGCTGGAGCCTAGCTCTGAAAACACGGGCTGCTGTCACCACGTACAGCGTTTGCCTTTTGAAACAGATCCAGGGAATGAACAAGCATAAAAATGTTCCAGACAACTTCAGGGTGCTGTTCAGTGGTACTGACCCTGCCTGCTCCACTAAGGGGCCTGACACAGCACAAGTTTCATCACCACTGGGTATGCATCTGTTTGACAATGGACAGGTTCTTCAGCTGGAACCAAATCCACACTCTGTGTGTTGTACAAGAGGAAAATGGGGGATTGGGATAAGCAAGGCTCAGTTTTTCCCCTCCAAGTGTTCTTGCATGGACTGAGTAGGTAACTGTACTAGCAAGCTGAGTCATAACGGGGGCTGCTTAGATTTTTGAACAGCTGACTGGCCTTTTCCTCACGTATATGTATAGGTATAGGTATAGGTATAGGTATAGGTATAGGTATAGGTATAGGTATATGTATACATATTAGTTTGAAAATTTCTTTCAGAAAATTTTTGAGCTGCAGTTTCGAGAACTGCAGCAAACATCTGTGTTGTTTATTGCTTACTTTTCAAATGTCATCATGCACCAGAGGTCTGCAGGAGCTCATCCCTTCCCAGGGACAAGAAGACTGCAAGAACCTTCTGATGGGGAACAGTCCGTGCAGTCTTCTGCCTACAATAAACTTTTCTTCCCTGTATGTGGGCAAAAAGATAGAATATCACGGAATTTAAAAAACAGATTGAAGCTCTCATTGTGTTTAAGCTGCAGTATATATTAGGATATGGCATTTGTCTAATGATGAGTCTTATGGCTGAGGTGTTAAAAAAGAATTAGTCTAGGCAATTTAGCCACCAGACAGCTATTGATACCACCAGAAGAAGGCTGATTGACTTTGCAAGTCTCCAATTATAACCCGTGCTATAATTATGATTATCTTTCTCCATAGAGCACTACTGAGCCTCCACTTTTGACTCATACCAGATTCCCACTGAAGTCAGCAGGAGCTGTGTATGAGATGGGGCTTTCACAGGCAGCACTGTTTGTCCAAAAGTAAACAAGCTGTTCCTGTAAATTGCTTCCCCAAAATGGACCATTTTCTCCTACATATTGTCATAGCTGTAATCAGGCACACAGCTCCTGCTTTGTTCTGATACAGGAGCAAAGTCAGGTTTAAGGCACAGGTAGGCTGGTGTGTCTTCAGACTTCTCCAGCACTGAAAAAGTCAACTTTTACAAGTCTTAACTTAGAGGCTAGCTCGAGTCTCTAGACAATAATTCAGTATCAAGAATACCCTGCTTGCCTGTAAATCTTAATCTCATTAGGTTTGTGCGGACAAGAAAAATGTATTTAATTGATTTCATCATCATGATTAGAAGGGGGTAAGTAGATTTATGCAAGAGGAGTAAATTCTTAGATTTACTGTGGAAAGCTTACATAGGAAAAATCTATCTTCATCTCCTACCTTACTACACACTCAGGAAAACTGCTCACAACTCTGATTGTAGGTGAAGTTGTTAATTACCTGGCCAGCACAAGTGAGGAAAGGTACTTGGGAAGCAGATTTCCATTTTTGCAGAAAAAGAGGAAACAAAGACCAAACTGGAGAAAACATGAAACAAAAGAATTCATAAGACTATAATTGTTCATGTTAAGATGCACAATGTGAGAAGATCTTCATATTAGGAAGTTTCTATAAAGGCTAACTTGCAGACAAATTGCCCCCATTATCTTGATAATCATTTTCTAAGCCATAAATCGCCCATCTTGCAAGCAGATATGTGGAAATACAATCCCATGGGATTCTGCACAGCACTACCAGCCTGTTAAAGTTGATCAGAGGGTGGTGTAGGGCTGCCATCTCAGCCTGTCTTTGAATGTTCTGTTGTCTTCTTTCTGGGAGGAATAGAAGCTTCACCCCTTTGGTATTTGTCTGGGAATCAAAGACCATGTGTCAGAAGTAGATGGACATTTCTTCATGGAGAGTTTTCAGAAATATGATTACAGCTGTCCTTAAACATCGTGTTCTGATGTCCTCCGTGTCCTCTCTAGTGCTCTGCTACATGATGGCTGTGTAACCTAAAGCCATACTAGCATTTTAATCTTGGACTTTTTATTGCTAGCTCTTTTAATCGCAGGCTTTCTTTACATTATCCAATACTTATAATCAATTGCTGAAGCAGGATGAAGAATATCACTCAAAAAGTTCTCCATCATTGTGGTGGCTACAGCGTGTTAACCTGTGGTATTTGAATACTTGTATGCAGGAATGATTTCTGTCTCCTGAGAGGACTGGGGCACAAGGAGCTGCCCTGGTTTTGCAGTGAGTATAATTTGGGTATTTGCCGTAACACCACATAAGCACTGTGGCTTTCTTTAAGTGGCGTTAGGAGTGAGGCACAGCCTGGCCGTAGTTTCATAGTGAGTTTGGGGTCTTGCAGTATCTGGGCCTTGAGCCCACCAAACTTTTGACAACCAGCTCTATGCCTTCTATTGCTAATCCACAGCCATGCTCCAGAAGTCAGTAGGAGAAGCCCTCTCACTGAGCACTTGTTAGCTTGCTTCTGTTGGAAGTGAAACCAAAATTTCAAAAATCCTAATTTTTTCTCTACTTTACTTTTGCAAAATAATAAGGTGAGGCTTCCTAATGTGCAACCCCTTGCAATTAATCAGGCAGTGACTGTGTCTGAGAGGGGCTCAGGTAGGTTTCACCTGGAGCCAGGTTAATCTTTCAAAACTTCTGTGACCTGCAGCCACAGTGGGGGTGGCAGGAGCCTTTTCAAGAGACATGAGTGTCATCTAGTGGTAAAACAAACCCACTCGATCACACCCCAAGAGCCACCTGGTTCCAGCCAAAAGCCTGCTGGTTTCCATACAGTGCACTGGGTGACACATTTTATTTCTGCCACACTTTAACAGACTAATACAGAATGTATGGAGTAATACTTCTTTTAGCTTTCATCCTTGTGGGATTTCTTTTAAGCAGGCTAATGGAAAATAATATGAGCCCATAGCTAACCAGGCAGCAGACACTAATGGCTCTCCATCTGAGGTTCTTCTGTCCCAGTGATGTGATACAGAAAGGGTCTGTCTCCTTGGGACCAGTGACCACCAGCTCTCTAGGGATTGAGAATTTTATAGGACAAAGGACTGTTTAAAGCTCTATTTACTTATATTGTATGATGTCTCTGTTGGACATTTGTGTTTCAGAGTAAATTTTTACTGAAACTCCTTTGCCTTCTTTCACATGTAAATCCAGATTTATTAGCAAAGCAGAGCATAAACATAGTAATTCTCTTGTAGTTGGTCAAATAAGGAGAAGTCTTCACCAGAAGCATCACTAGCAGAGGAACATGCAGGGACGGTGGCTGAGCTGGTAACAAAGTGGAGTGGAGAAATACTGGCTGGTTATGTACAATTTTCCTGATGTGACTTCCTGGAAGTTAATCACAGTAACTGTAATGGAACAAACTCAGCTTAAGGTGTTGTGCAGATATTCTGAGGGAAAACAGACTTTGAATTTAGTCAGCTAGAACTTACCATGTAAAATTACTGCAATTGCTCAGTACACATTTTAAAGTGCTGAACTGGAAGCTCACCTTTTTTTTTTGAGCAAAGAGGAATTTGCCATAGTTACAGCTGATGCCAAGGACTGAGACTTCAGAAAAATCCCAAATTCTTCCCACTTGACTAGGGGCTGGTGGTTGGAGGCTGTGGAGCTACCCAGCCTTGGAGCAGTGGGCAGTGAAAATCCGAGGATCCAATCCCTCCGCATGGGAGACTATCTAAGGGCATGCCTTGTTTTTCAAATGGTGCTTCCTCTCCCACCATTTCCTGCTAGAGCAGGCCTTGGGCAGTCACGCCACACAAGTTTCGTGATCTTAAGGGTGAAGGCACCTTAAAGAAAAAACAAGCAACCGACAAAAAAGCCTAATGAAAAGCACTGAATCCCTTTGCAAAGCTGCCGGCTGGCCGTGTAGCACGGCGCTGGGCAGAGCCCGCATCAGCCAGGGAGTCAGGGGCTCTTGGCAAGCCGAGGGCAGCGGAGCATATGGGTCTTTCCCTCGTGTCCTCTGCTCCCGCAGCCACCGGGGGAAGGGCTCAAAGAGCCGCCAGCTTCCACCTCCCGCTTGCCGGGAAAGCGCAGCCGGCGGCGCTCACCGTGGCGCTTTCATTTGTCAGCCCGCCTGCGTCAGCGCTAATACCGAGCTCAGCTGCTCATCATCCCAGCTGATAATGTCGCGGGAGGAATTAGGCAAGGCATGCTGGTAGAAGGGAGAGAGAGGGCTTGAGGGAGAGTAATCACAGGCACAGCGACGGGAAATAAATGAGATAGAAAAAAAAAACAACCCTCAAACAGGCGATTCTCAGGCTAGAAAGCAGTGTATTTTTAGGGGATGGGGCTGTTTCAGTCCCAGCTGTGGGGAGCCACGGGATAGATACCAGCAGGTATCCCTGGGATTTCAGCAGGGTTTGCTTCAAGGCTGAAATGAGGGAGTTGCCACAGGGCGCTTGGCATTCAGCTGAGTTGCAGAAGAGCTAAATGGGTGGGCTGAGACTGGGTTTTCCCCTTGTTCGCAGATGAGACGTGGCAGGAGGCAGGGGAGGGCTCGCAGATATTGCTTCTTTCTTTATGGGCCTGCTGCAGGATTTCCCTCTTCAGAGAAAGGCAGAAAGGTTTTCACTCACACAGCTTCTGCCTGAGATTTGGAGCAGGCCTCCCCCATGAAAACAGTGCTAATAAGAGGCCATGCCATAATCTGATGAAACCCAGGGAGGTCCTGGCCATAGGAGCCATTCACTGTGCCGCAGCCAGCAGGAGTCCAGTTCCCAATATCTCCCTCGACAGCAGACGGAGCAGAATGCTCTGTTAAAAGAAGACATACATTTAATTAATTCCTGTGGTGCTATAAAACTCAAATTTAATCTGAATTTTTAAACACACCTTGGCATTTTAACCACTGCTAGCAGTAGGGCAGTGTTATAGTCCTGCTTCTGGTTATGTCCCTACAGAATGTATCTCTTTCCACTGAAATTCAGTAAATATTTTGAAAAAGCTGGGTTAAGGTCAAGTATGTTTTGCAAAATCTTTATCTGTGTAACCTAAATGGACCTGGCAACAGAATAGATTGTGCTCTGAACTTAGGGAAAAAGGTGAAATAGCTCATCACTATCAGTTCTGCTCTTTGTATGTGGCAGTAAATTCAGGATGACTGTCCATCTCCAAATGCTGCATGGCATCTAGATTTACATTCCCTGGATTGTCTGGCTTTGTGTACCATGTTGCTGTTTGGTTCTTCCAAAAGCCATGAAACAACTCCTGAAGGAAAATGGTGTATCCAGAGCACCAGTCTGGCCCAACCACAGACCCACAGACCAGAATTCTCAGCTTAGAAAGCTATCTTTCATATGCACCAGAGAAGAAACAAGTATCACAGTGCAGAATGAGCTTTTTTTTCAGAACCAAATACTGTAATAATTTATGCCCATGTGTTGCTCTTTTATTTTGTGCATGTGTTTAATTTTGGACATATATTTTCCATATCTCCAAATGTTCTGCAAAGTTCAGCAGTAAATTATTATTTAACAATCAAAAATTGCTTTCTCACACCTTTTATTTTCCTCTTTTTTCTTGCTAACTGATCTCCAGGAGAAGCACCATTAGAGTGATGCTGGAATCAAAAGCTTTAGCTAATATTTTCAGAATTACTGATGGAAAATTAGAAAGGGAAAGGTGTCTGTATATCTGGCCTCAAAAGGTAAGCCCAAAAATGAGACACCTTGGTGACTGAATTATTGGCCAGTGGTTACATTTGAATATTCAATTGCTGTGGTGGCAAAGGCTCCCTCAAAATGATTCTTTTTGCTTGACACCCAAGTTAAATTGCATTTAATTTCATATTCTTCCACAAAAGTTGTTCCATATTGTGCCTTTCCTTTTGAAACATGGCTAGGCAGGTATTGATTGCTAGCAAGCCCAATAGGAAAAGCCTAGATGACACAGGTTAAATAATATGTGAAGGGCTGATAGTTTTGGCAGAAAGCACTTCATGAGGAAATGAGTGAGGATCATAAGCTTTTACCTTTCAGGTAAAATAAATCACCAGATCAGAGCAAGTCTGTTTATTCCACTTGTAAAAATATTAAAATTCATCACTGTGATTTTCACATTGTTAGTCCTCTGTAATTGATTATGCACTGCAAAACTTTTCACCAAACAGTGTTGCTCTTGGGTTGTCATGTAGGGTTTAGGGAACAAAAACATTGGTGACAAAAATGGAAACACCCTTTGCACTACTGCCAGCCTCAGCTACTGCTTTTAGGCTCCATCTGTCCGGTGTTTCTGCATCCCCTGGGATCTGGGAGCAGGAGACTGTCACCAGGATAACCATTCTCCTTGAACAGCAAAAGTCTCTCAAATTATACAATGAGGTCTACAAATAATCATATCAGCTTAGCACTAACGTGCTTAACACTTAAACTCTGGGTTTGTCCTTATTTCGCTTCCAATTTTTTGTTTGGAAAATCAAAAGCCAGTCCCACTATAATCCTTCAGCCAAGCTTCACTTTTTCTACTGCGTTGTGGGGAGTCTTCTGAAATCCCCACCTAGATTTACCTTGTTTCTCTGTTGTGCCCAAAGGAAGAGCTTTTTGCTGCACAGCACATACATGTGCAGCACAGCTTTTGATTCAATTGGAGAGCATCTTCCCTCTCTGCAGGTATTCCCTGCAAAAATTACCAATACTTTTCTTCTTTCATTGGAGATGACTTTTTCCCCCAAGGCTTTGCTCACACAGTTGCAGTGACTGGATGCAAGTGCAGGACCAGGGAGTAAGGCCCTTTGTTTTCAGTCAGACCCCACAGGGTTATCCAGAGACTTAATTCACCATATAACAATCTAATTCCCTTCCATTAATTCAACACAGGTGGGTGCTTCTAGAAAAGCTGTAACCAGCAGCTCACAGATGGAGCAGGCTCTGGTCTTGCAGGGGAGGATTTCATGGCAGGCTGGTCCAAATACCAACAGTCAGTTGAGACTTAATGGAGACCTTAACCCTCCTCAATACAAAGCTGGGGTCCATTTGGCTCAGAAGGGACTCCTGTCTAAATACTTCCTTAGTTCCCTGTTCTGCCTCTGCTCTGCTTCTCATGTGCTGCATCCCTGCTCTGCCTCATGCAGTGATGTGCCAGTCAGGAGGGAGAACCCCTCTAGGACCTCTGCCTTCATCTTCCCTCAGAAAAGGCCTTGGACAAGTTAGGGCATTCTATGGAAACTGGGCCTTAGCGGGAGAAAGCTGAATGGAGAAAGTAAGCGAGGCCTGGTGAAGGGAACCCATGAGAATAAGACTTGCCTCAGGCCAGCAGGAAGTACAAAGTGGACCTCAGAGGCTTCTGCCTTGACATCAGGGTATATTTTTAACTGAATAAAAAAATAGCTCTAGGTTAGCTTCTGTGAATAAAGGGATTGAGACTAGAGTTGAATGATGAGAGACTATTGACAAAGGAAGAAAATGACTGGCTACAGGCTGAAAGCCTGAAAAAACCCCACGCTTTTTCAGGATGGATGTGAGATGAGACAAGAAGCAGCTGGTATTGCATCCACAAGGACTGAAGCAAAGCCTACCAAAAGGAATGCAGTGATGATGGGACCACATCCCATTCTCTGTGTCACAGAATGAAGATGTCCAACAGTAACCAGCACAGGGGCTGCTGCACACAAGAAACGGGTTAGGCAGGGTTGTGTTTGGGCTTTCCATCCCAGTGGCTAGGGACTGCTTGTCAGTCTTGTCCCTCTCTAAGGAAACTTCAAATGCTTAAATATCCCAAGGTATAAAACTTCTTGAAGCCTGTGCATTACATCTCTGCTACCATCATGACACATCATGAGAATCAGTGCTTACAGGTCTAACTGGTGTCCATTTTTAGAGCAGTGGGTAAGTTACTGAACTGTCCACCATATTTTCTCCTTACTGAAAGTTATTTATTCTCATTTTATAATACCAGCTAGAGGCCAGGAAAATCAGTCTGTATATTTCTCAGTATATAGCTACATACACACATATAATAAACTATTAAAAATATACAAGGTTGAAGAATAAGGGAGAAAAAGTGTTATCCACGTTTTATAAATGGGGTGCTGAAGTAAGAGGAGATGACATGAGTTTCAGATCATACTCAATGTCTGTGATAGATCAGGAAACTCAGGTCTAAGGAGAAGTCCATCCTTCCTTCCTGAATGGAAAGAAGGGAGCTGATACACTCAGGAAAGATGGGATTGTACCTTTTGTAGAGTATTTGTAGTGTTTAAATAACCTTAATTCCCTGCATTCCCAAGACAGTCTCTCTGCTTTTTCTTCATTTTTCATTCAGTAGTCTAAAGCAGGAAATGTGACACTTATTTGATTTTATTTTTTAAAATTTCTTCATTATTGCAGAAAAATCTTCAATAAGTCATGCTTGGAAGCTCTTGGAAGTTTGCAAAACCAAGCCCTGTTCAGCTCCAGGCATTTATACATGACGCATACGCTCATCAGTGCTCATTGCTGTTGTTTCTCTGCCAATCACCTTACCCAATGTGAAGATGTGTCACAACACTGAGCAAACATGGAAACAGCCACTTTAATCAACCGTATTTTCCCCATATGGTAACTTTCCTTTACCATGGTAGTCCAGCTTTCACACAGATTTTAAAGAGAGGAAGTTTACAAGCAATAAAAATTAACAGCCAGTATATATGCAACAAACAAATCAACATCCCCCCCCCATAGTGTGTGCCTGAGTGGATCTAATTCAAACTGTGACTAAACTGTGGTTGCATTTCCATGAGATATTTTGCCTAAGGATGTGCAGTGTACACAGTGCATGATTCATTTCAGTGAGAACCAGACCAGGGGTGACAGGAAGAAGTTCTGAGGACAAGCACAGAGAAATAGCCATAACAGAAGAGGAAAGCCACACAATGGTTGTGCTGCCATGCCCTTAGAGCAGTAACAAGGCAGGGCAGTGAGAGCCTTCATTCCCATGTGCTTGTGAAGAACTTTACTGACTCTCTTCATCTTCACCTATTCCTCCCCATAAAGAAAAGAAAGCCCAGATTAAAGTGGTTGGATATGGGGATAATTCATTTTCCAAGCTCTCTCTCTGCCTCAGATTGCCTCACAATTAGAGCTCCCCCTTCTCCACACACACCTAAAGGCCAATTCTGGGAGCACGTCTTTCCCAGAAGTCTCTGTAGGGCTGGGGAGCAGGTGCCTTGCTAGAAGTAATCCTCACAGCTGTCTGGTTCATGTGTTGTTAATACAAGCACATAATTTCCACTGGCGTAGATTAGGAGTATTAATGGCAACAGAACAATGAATGTCTGTGCAATCAGAATTTGACGTCTTGTATTTGTCATGCCACCAAATAGCTTGTTTCCAAATTATAGAACAGTTCTGTGGTGAATGGAATCGGGCTGTGATAATTTGTATGTATGAACGATATTTTAAGACCCACTTGTTTTTACATCTCGTTCAAACACTGCCAGGATGGATGTTGGGTGGATGTTGAGAGCATACATACATTCTGTTTCAGAGACACTTCTCATCCTGCAGTGTGGCTTAGGGATCTGTCTCTCCTCTGGGTATTCATTTTCAGTAAGACTTGGAAAGGAGAAGACAAGCCAAACACAGCACAGCATCTGAGGACATAATGTTTTCAGAGCCGGCTGGCAGTGGTAGTCTGTTGTTCTGTCAAAACAAAGATGACGTGACAACTCTGCCTGTCAGTCTTTGCCCAAATTCATCCCTTCCTTCCTTCCTTCCTTCCTTCCTTCCTTCCTTCCTTCCTTCCTTCCTTCCTTCCTTCCTTCTTTCCTTCCTGCCTGCCTGCCTGCCTGCCTGCCTTCCTGCCTTCCTGCCTTCCTGCCTTCCTGCCTTCCTGCCTTCCTTC